AAGCCACTGCGAACATAGCAATAAAAACGCCATTTTCCAAAACTGCCTCCCGCTCCTGCTTCAGCCTCTGGGGAGAGGGGGCAGGAAGCGGGGTGCGGGAGGTCTGGGGTGCGCCTTCCCCCAGTCCCAGCTGCTGCAGTCAGCCAGCTTGCAGCCTGAGGGCCTGTGTGCCCGGCCTGATGCCAGCAGCTGGGAAGGCAGTAACCCTAACCTCGCTCCCCCTGGAGCTGATTCTTGGGGAGCCAGGGATATCGATCAGCCCGACAGGAGTGGACTGAGCAGGAAGGCTGGGTGGAAGCTGTAGGCGCTAACTCGAGACGGTATCCCTGAACAGCTAAACTTGCAAAATCAAGAGGGGAGTGAGGGCCAAAGGGGTGCAACAGGGTTTGGGTGGTGACCTCGAGGAGTTGCCCAAGACTTCAGCTAAGGGCCAGCAGGAATTGTAAATGACTGGCATGTAGACATACCAAGCTCAGGGCATGTTGGCATTGCCACAGCCTGCAATGTAGACATGAATGGACAATCGGGAAGTGGCATCTGAGTGGCAGTGTCTAGCTGGCAGGTGGATAGGAGTCTGCACTGGAAATAGAGCTCTGGAACTTTGTAGCACAGGAACATGGCACAGAGGGCCTAGGCGAGGACAAGCTTGTGATGGCAGGCCATGGTGGGGGCTGAGGGAGAGGCGCCTGAGCCCTGGACCCGTGCGATGCTCTGAGGGCAGGAAGGGCAGCTGGAGGGGTGGGAGGGAGCCCAGGAGCCCCAGGAATGCCTCGTGCAGCCCTGCAGCCCAGGTGAGGCCCAGAGGAGAGGCTGAAGAGTCCTGCCAGGGGTCACTAAAGAAAACAGGTCAGGGCCTGGTATCTCATAGGGGTGCCAGTTCAAGTCCCAGTTGCTCTGGTTCCCATCCAGTTCCCTGCTGATGTGCTTTGGGCCCCTGCAACTGGCGATCCAGCAGCCCCGGGGCATTGTGGCCATCTGGGGGTGTGAGCAAACCTGCAGATGCATGATTTCACTCTTAACTCTTTCATATAAATGAAATGGGGGGAAGGTGGTGAAAACAATGCAAGCATCCATGAACAAACGAATAGGAAACAATGCATTCTATCCACATAGTGGACTATTACTCATCCTTCAAGAGGTAACACATTGTTGGGGCAGACATTTGGTCTGGTGGTTAACATGTCTCCATCCCATATTATGGTGACTGGGTTAAAGTTCCTCTGGGTTAGATCTTCCTCTCTGTATATCTGACTTTACAATAAAAATAAAGATTTATTTTTATTTTTTACTTGATGCGTGGAATTACAGAGGAAGAGGCAGAGATCTTCCATCTGCTGGTTCACTCCCCAAGTGGCTGCAACAGCAGAGCTGAGCCAATCCGAAGCCAGGAGCCAGGAGCCTCTTCCAGGTCTCCCACACGGGTGCAGGGTCCCAAGGCTCTGGGCAGTCCTCCACTGCTTTCCCAGGCCACAGGCAGGGAGCTGGGTGGGAAACAGAGCAGCTGGGATTCCAACTGCCACCCATGTGGGATCATATGCGGCAGGCCCCAGAGTGCCCCCCGCCCCACCGGTCCCCTGCAAATGAGCACTCTAGGAAGCAGCAGTGAGGACTTCAGTACTGGGGTCCCTGCCACCTACAACAGAGACCTGGACCGAGTTCCAGGCTGCTGGTCTTCCGAGGCCAGTTCTGGGCCTGCAGACATTTGCAGAGCAAACCATTACATGAGAAATTCTCTGTATGAAAAGCGGATAGCGAAATGCATTTTTCAAGAAAGGAATTGACACCTGGCTTCTAATGCAGTTGACCACTGAAGATACTGTGCTCAGTGAAACAGACAAGCACCAAAAGACAAATGCTGACAGGCGTGCTCTAGAACACATCCCCTTTTCCTACGAACCTGCCGAGTTGCAAGTGGGTGTCAGAGGTTTCAGCTGGGGAAAGACAGTGAAACCACGCAGTCACATACAGTCTCAATGGCAGGGGAGGGGAAGGCAGGAACTGGATCCCCAGTCCACAGGGGGCATGGATGGAAGGTGGCCATCCATGACAGCATGCGGCCGCGCACAAAGGGAGAATGCAGCACGGCCAGGAGGTGGGCCAGCCCCAGCACCCTCCATGGAGAAGAGCAGTCCTTAGCTCAAGTTGACAGTGGGCAATGGGCAGGGCAGGGCAGTCAGACTCAGGAGGCCAGCTGGGGCAGAGGGGAGCCCTGTGGTCCTTCTCAGAGCCAAGTGACAGCATGGCTAGCTCTACTTCTGGGCCTTTCCAGGTCAGCGGCTTGGAAACACATGGGGTCCCTGCTTTTCAGCAGGCTAAGTCCCCCTCAGAGAGGATGGCCAGGGCTAAGAAGTGGGCTTGAAATGCTGTCATCAAGAAGCACAGGGCTGGGCCCAGCGGTGTGGCCTAGCGGCTGAAGTCCTCGCCTTGAATGTGCCGGGATCCCATATGGGTGCCGGTTCTAATCCCGGCAGCTCCACTTCCCATCCAGCTCCCTGCTTGTGGACTAGGAAAGCAGTGGAGGACGGCCCAAAACTTTGGGACCCTGCACCCGTGTGGGAGACCCGGAAAAGGTTCCTGAATCCTGGCTTCGGATCAGCGTAGCATCGGCCGTTGGGCTCACTTGGTGAGTGAATCATCAGACGGAAGATCTTCCTCCCTCTCTCTCTCTCTCCTCTCTATCTGACTTTCCAATAAATAAATAAATAAGTCTTTGGCCAAAAAAAAAAACAAAAAACAAAAAAAACAAAAAAAAACAGCAGCAGCACAGGGCTGTGCCTGACACGGTAGCCTAGTTGCTTAAGTCTTCACCTTACATGTGCCAGGATCCCATACAGATGTCAGTTCATGTCCTGTCCACTCCACTTCCCTTCTAGCTCCCTGCTTGTAGCCTGGGAAAGCAGTCGAGGACGGGGGACTCAGAAGAAGCTCCTGGCTCCTGGCTTTAGACTGGCTCAGCTCTAGCCATGGTGGCCACTTGGGGAGTGAACCAGTGGATAGAAGATATTTCTCTCTGCCTCTCCTCCTTGTAAATCTGACTTTCCAATAAAAAATAAATCTCAAAAAAATCCTTTCATAAGGACTGTTCTTGAAATAGGAATGAGCTGTAATGATGCTATAATTAGCTAATAATCCAGAGGAAGTTAAAAAAAACAGGGCTGCTCTAAGTGCGTTCCCACTGCAGGGAGGTCTTGCCCTGCTCCCCCTTTCGGCCCATGTTGTCTCTCCAGTTCACCTACTGCCCCAGGTCCCCCTCCCTCTCTGCCCTGGCCATACCTGCAACTTCAAGAACTGCCTGCTGATAGCTCCCAAGTCTCCAGCCTGGCCCTCCCTGGCTGCACTGACCCTTCCTAATACCCACAAGGCCTCTGCCCAGGGCCCTAGCCCTTCTTGGGTGCCATGTGTCCCTCCAGCCCCCACTTGGCTCTCAGCCAGCTTTCTTGCCATGGTCTGCTAACTGCTCTGCTTGTCCTCAGGCCAAATGCCCTCCGAGCCACCTTACACAAGACCAAGAGACATGGAAAATGCTGGCATGACAGAAAGGCACCGCCAATGTAGGCGGACCCCTCAAGCCGAGTTCCAAAGCAGTATGTTCTAAGCACCGTTTTCCCAGGACTTAATGTCCCTTTTAGTGTGGGGACACCCAGCCCAGCAGAGGTAATGGGCAGCCTTGGCCAGTACAGCATGGTCAAGGACAGCACATTCTGGGACGGACTAATCTCTCCTGGCAAGATGGAGTGCCCCAGAAGCTGCTGCTGCTCTGTCCTCTGCACGCCCAGGTGAGCATAAAGCTAAGCGAGAGACTAGGCAAAATGAGAGGAGGCCACTAAGGCCAGCAGAGGAAGAACCCGCACCCTGTAGGTTTGGACTTTAACCTCAGAGGCTAAGAAGGGTGAGAGGCACAAGGTAATCAGGGAATATTTCCTGGAAAAGTGGGACTAGCCCTCAGCCTTAGCATAGTAACCAGAGGGTGTTACCTGCATATCCCCAGCCATCAAAGATACCACATCCCGGACGGCCTAATGACAGGGTGTGAGGGACAGGACTCCTCACAAGGCAGCTAGGAAGGGAGCTGCTGGACAGGACCCAGAGGAATGGGCATCAACATCTTCCAGGGTCTACCCTAAGGTCAAGAGACACCCCTGTAACCTGCTCCTCCAGCTCTGTTGAAACCTGCCACAGCCTTTGGGCATGGTGGAGGCTTGGCAAGGCCCAGGGGCTGCAGCTGGAGCAGGACTGACAGTAAGCCACGCCTGAAGGCACCTTCCACCTGCTCTGCTGCACAGCACACTGCAGCAGCCTGCAACCTCACTGCCATGAGGGGCGCCCCAGTGCCAGGCTTGGCTCATTGCAGCCCTGCCAGAGGTGGCTCTGAGCCCAGCCTACAGACTGGCAGAGGACAAGATTTTAAAAAGGAAGCTGCCTAGGGTGAAAGGTCAGCAAAGCACCCACCCAGGGTTCTCAAGGCAGTTTGTTCCCTACCCATTCTTGGGGCTGAAGCCAGCAGAAGGGTCAGCTTGCATTTGCAGCCCTTCTCCATCTGCCAACTCTGCTCTGAGCCAGCTGTAGGTCACCGCCAAGGACGATTCTCCTCTCCCAGACGGCATTAGTCAGAGGTTATCCTGCAAACCTCCAGGAGGGGGTGGAGCAGGGAGTGGCAGGTGGCGCTCTGCCATGTTCTATCTGTCCCAAACGGGATGAATAGAAAGCCCAAGGAGTCTGCTACGCGGAAGCCCTGCAGGTGATAGTCTCCTTTCCCGCCCAGGCAGCTCCCAGTGGGGCTCGGCCCAGCCTCCTGAGCATCAACAGCAGTGGCGCGGCAGTGGGAGGGGCAAAGGGCTGGAGGACAAGGGAGAGGCTAGCCCTGAGGAGCCGGAACAAGGCGCAGGATGCGAGGACGGTGCAGAGGCTTCCGGCCGCCACACTGGGCTGGGGCTTCAGAGAAGGGAGGAAGGGGCATCTCCCTCCCACGGCCTCAGTGACACATGAGCACCGCATACATGTCATCATCATAGTAAGAACCTTTATTGCCAAGACGAAAGCAGCTCACTGGCTTCGCCAACCTCTTGCAAGCCACACCGAAGGGGGCTCAGACCAGCAGGAAGCAAGGGCGGCCACAGGCTGGGCCACACCGGCCCTCCCCGCTCTATGGGCAGCACGACAGCAAACTTGGTCAGAAAGGGTGGTGACTGGCTCTCGGGGTGTGCTGGGAGAGCACGGACAGGGCCAATGACGAGCAACAAGCTGTGGAAGGGGATGGGGAACGGAATGGCGTGAACTGAAGTCCCAGAGCAGAGGCCGGGCTCCCAGGAAGCAGCAGGCATGTGCCAGGTGGAAGCAGCTAGAGGCAGGGGAGGCGGGAACCGCTCACTCCTCCTTCTTGTCCGTCGAACCATCTACCAAGGCCTGGAAAGGGATACAAATCCCAAGCAGCAGGTTGGCAGGGCGCATTGCCACCCTGCACCTGCTTGCCTCACCCTCCAGAGCTGCAATCGGCTCCCTGTGCCCCAAAATGACAGGCTTGCGGGTAAGCAGAGGCCCCACCCTTAGCAGCACCAAGGCTGGCCAGGGTCAGAATGAATGGCAGCAACTCTTCGCACTGCAGAGAAGTCCACAAGGTGAACGTCAGCCAAGGGAGAGTGGCCAGGACGTCCCTGGGGGACTGGGCCCCAGCCAGGGGGGACAGCTGAAGGCCTCCGCTGGCATTCTGTCGGGGCAGCCAGACCAACCCAGAAGCAACACCTCTTGGGCACATTTCCCCCAGCTCCCTCATGCCCATGACAGCCTGGGCGTTCAAGTCTCTTCCAAGTCTGTTCATCTTGCACAGGTCCCCTGCAAGCCAGCCCCGGCCTCCCATGGAGCACACCCCATGCAGAGGGCTCAGGACCCCTCACACCCAATGTGAAAAGCATGCGAGCCTGCACAGAACAGGCCTGGGGCAGCAGGTCCGAGGGGAGAGAGAGTGCCTGCCAAGTGAGTAGCCCTCGTGTCTGAGCTCTATGCCCTGCCGCCCTTCCCCATTTCCACGCCCTCTGGGAAAGAAGGTGCCAGCACTTCAGCTGCACAGCTGTTCTCGAAGGGACCGAGCATGTGGTGGGAAGGCTCAAGAGTACAGCGAGCCAGCCTACTGCAAAGGTTCACTTCGCCATGCCCCTCATCCACTGCCAGGCCACGTTTCCCCTGCCAGCCAGCCCGCCTGCCTGGCAAGTTCCTCTCCCTGCCCAGACTGGCCTAAAGGCCTGCATCAGAAGCATCAGGTCCCCTGCAGATTCAGCGAGCTAAGTGTGGAGTCCCTGCAGGTGGGGCACTGACCTGCAGCTTGGCGTGCTCATCTAGCAGGCGGTCGTACTCCTTGGTGAGGCCCTCAGACTGCTTCCGCATGGCCAGGGCCTCATTCTCGGCTTTCTCTAGCTCTGGAAAGGATACAGGCACAAAGAGGGAACAAGATGACGGCTGGGGTTATGGAAGACAAATCTACCTGTTAAGAGAATCGGTCTCAAATGCAGCTGTGCGTGAGAGTGGCTGTCTGGATCAAGGTCCTCAGCCACACAGCAGCCCAGAGCAGAGGGATGACGGCAATCAGACTGTGGTGGTGCACAGTGGCTTATGTCACCATTTCTGACACCTACATTACCTATCATAGCACAGCTTTGAGTCCCAGCTACCCCTCTTCTCGCCCAGCTCCTTGCTAAGACACTTGGGAAAGCAACAGAAGTTGTTTCAAATGTTTGGGCTATCTGCCACCCACATGGGAGACCCAGACGGAGTCGCTGGCTCCTGGCTTCGGCCTGGCCCAGCCCCTGCTGTTGCAGTCACTTAGGGACGAACCACTGACTCGAAGATCCATGTTTCCTTATCTCACTCCTTCTCCTCCCCTTTCTGTCACTCTGCCTTTGAAATCAATCAATCTTTCAAGAAGAAAACAGAGCTCCCTGTGTGTGATAAGTTAGGATAGCAGGCAGTTAGGCTTTCTGGTCCCTGGTGAAGTTATTATTTTTTAATATAAAAACTGTATTTCTTCCACTAGTCTTAACTTCCCAAGAGCACATTTCTCCCAAGGGTACCCTCTTTCCTTAAAGGACAGAGGGGCAGAATTCACCACCTCAGAACTGTAACAAAAATAAGACGTGACCCATCTACTCCCATCTCTGGGCCACTGTCAAAGAGACAGTGCCTGAGTGATCAGCTTCTCATTAGAACGGGAGGAGAAGTTAGGCAGTCCCACCCTTCTGAGGTTTCACCGGAAACCAGATGCCACTGTGAAGGATTCTGTCCTTTGAGTAACTCCCCTGAGGTGGTGCACGAAGGACATCTTCTCAACCATTAACTCTGCTTTTTTGCTGTCCTTCCTTGGCGCTCTGGGGCTTTTCCTCAGGACACCTAGAGCCCCCTCCCGCCACCATGGCAGGAGCTCTTTTCTCCTAAATAAATCCTGCTTTACAAACTGGAAACAAAACAAAACAAAACAAAGCCAAGCTCCCCAGCCTGGCCCACCTTGGTACCTTCCCTGGAGGAAATCCCGGCAGCTCTTGGCAAGGGGCGACCTTCAGGAGGATGGGAGCACAAGATACAGAAAATGCCACCCTCGAAGGACGTTTCCTGGTGATGACACCTGGCAGAGCGCCAAAGCAGCTAATGCCAAACGGTGCCAGGTAAAAACGCTTGCACACAGTTTGGGGAACAGGAAGAAAAGGCCACCCAATGCAGAGCCAGCTCTGAGTTAAAAGAAAAAGAGAACAAATCACAAATTCCCTTCCAGAATGCCGACAGTCCTCTGGGCCTCAGTTTCCAGGCATGCTGGATAGCCAGTGTTTTTAGCACTCCTGAATACAACTGTGCCAGCAGCTGCCCAGCCCCTCCTAGGCCCTGCTGGGAGTGGAGCTATGGGCTGCCATGTGGGTGTCTGAAGTCAGCTCTCAGCTCATGCGGGCAGCAGACATGCTGGGAGAAGCCTCACTCTGCTTGGTGCTGGCCAGGTCAGCCTTCAGTTTCTTCAGGTCAGCCTTCAAGCTCCTGTTCTCTTCCTCCAGCTTCATCTCAGCGTCACCAACATCCAACTTGCCTCTGTCCACAGCAGCTCCCTGGGAAAAGTGCGAAGGCCTGGGTTGCTGGGGAGGGAGGGAGGGAGGGTCTCCAGTCTCACCACCCCCCCACCCCAGAGCCTCAGCTCCCTGGGGTACTTGTCCCTTTGGAAAAAAAAGGCTGGGGCATAGCTACCTGCCGAGGAAAAAGAAGAGCCAGCAGGGCCACCTGCCACTGCTCCCAGACCACACACCGTGCCTGCGCTGGCCCCCTGCCTGGCCTTTTTCCTCACCAGCAGAGCTAGCAGCTCTGGCGTGTGCCACTGTACCAATCCTCCACGTGCCATCATTGGGACATCTCCACAAGTCCCCCACTAGTGACTCGTCGCTTCTACTCCTTCCTCATCCAGTCCCTAGCAGCTCCCTGCAGCCAGGAGCCCAAGTTCACTCTCGCCCATGCACTCCCACCCCTCTATGCCTCTACTCACAAGCTTGGCTCCTGCCTCGGCTTCTCTGACAGGCCTTGTTGGAGAGGCCAACATCTGGCCCTGCCTTCTGCCCAGCGCTGAGGGAGGCCCCCGAGGGCAGATCGGGAGGCTGCCATGAGCAGAGGGAAGCAACTGCTGCCCCCTCTCCAGCAGGGCTCTGTAAGCCAGAGGAGCAGGGTTGACAGCCTGACCCTTCTACACACCCACCTCCCTAACAGTTCACACGTTTCCTGGTGCAACACAGTGGCCTCAAAACACAGTGCCCAGGGCATCTCTCAGCAGGCTGGGCAGGCAGCACTCACCTTCTTCAGCTGCTCATTCTCCTCCATGTATTTCTTGGCCGCCTCACTGGCGCTCTCTGCTTGCTTTTTAAAGGCTTCATTGGAGGCCAGCAGAGTGGCCTGCTGGGAGATCAGAGTCACCAGGCGTCTAAGCAGGCTGCAATTATTTACAAAAGAAGGGCGAAGGGAGAAAAAGAACGCAAGAGCTGGCAGGCAACTTCTCTTGGATGCTCCCCACCCCAGCCTGCCTCCAGCCTGGACCTGCCCTCTTGAATTGCCAGCAGCTAGCAAGAAGCTGCCAACCTGGCCCTGGCCAGTAAAGAGGGAAGGGTGGAGCCCGGGAGCTGCCTGCCACCACCATTCCAAAGCAGCCACCCTTGGCTCTGGGAGGTGACCAAAGGGTGGTGCTGCTGGAAGCAGGAGCCGAGGGGCACCCAGGGTAGTGCCTGGCTACAGTAGTCAGTCCCAGGACTACCAGCACGTTCCAGGTCTGTACCACAGAATCGCTGGCACTCTTCCTCACGGTGAGGCCACGCTGGCCTCCACACAGTAACTGTAGCAGCCCCCAACCTGCCAGGCCAAATCCCCACACCTGTCTACCCTGCAAGCCAATCACTATCGCAGTGCCTACCCAATCCAGGATGCAACAGAGGCTCGGCAATGTGAAGCAGCCAGCCTAGGTTAAAGAGCCAGAAACAGACACAGCTGGACTTACAACTTGGGTCCCTGGGACTCCACAAATGTTCCACCATGCTTCCTTATAAACCAGCAGGCCTCATCCCCAGGGCCTGGCTTCACTTCTCTCCTTAGAAGCAGGAACGTGCCAGAGTGCATCTGTTGCATAACATCAGTACCCAAACTTGAAGGCCATGGGCACCCAGCATCTTTTGGAGGCAGCTGAGTGGCAAACAGGTGGCAGATGCTGATCCCTAAGCAACTCGTTCAGTCCACCTATGGGCTGTGAGGTGAGCTTTGTTCTCAGAGAAGGGATGCACAGTACTGCCTGTAGACACTCAAGCCCAACAACACTGACCTAGGGCAAACTACATGCAACTATCCCATCATGAACTGCTTTCTCCAGGGTGTCTCATGCACATGAAGTTCTGGCTCCAAAAAGAGCAGCAGCATGGCAGCTGCTCCCAACCTCTCATATCCTCTGCCAGACCCTGGGAGGCTCTGCTTGCTTCCACAGAGCAAGGAGCTGCGGCCAGCTGAGCCTTCCCAGCCAGAGACAGAACCCTTTCAGGAATGCCCACTCAGGCCACAAACGCCCCCAAGGCAGGAGCCACCCACTGGCTCCCAAACAGGGAGGCTCCCGGGGCCCCTGGAGGCTTCCTGGCTGCAGAGCAGAGTTTCCAGTGACATGTGCTCTCTAAAATTAGCGACCAGGACCTCGTGGCCCAGGGCTCAGGTTTCCCTGCCTCAGCCCCCGGCTGCCCACCAGCCTGCCCCCCACTGGGCTGGAGCCCTGCAGGTGGAGACAGAGTGAAGCAGTGAGCCTGACTCACAGCCGGAAGTCACTGGAGAAGCTTAGAAAGAGACAAGTGTGACTAAGCCCCAACCCCCCATTCACAGCTCCTGGGATGCTGCGGAAGAGGCTGGAAACAGGGGTGGGGCACATGTGCTACCTGGCAGTAAACATGCAGCAAGCGAACACCGAGGAGGAGGGCGCGATGCAGGGTTCCATCCCTAGCCCAGCAGGTTGGGCTGGGTGAATGGCTGTGGTCACAGCCCAGTTACCAGGGAGGCCAGCCCAGGGAGATAGTGAACACAAACAAGTCACTGGCAGCAGTGCCAGCGGCAAGGGCCCAACTCTCTTCAGCAGCCAAGGCTTTTCCCAGCTATCAAGAAGTAGCACTTCCGAGACAGGCCTGCGTGTACACATGGGCCCTGGCAGTAGACCTGCACAGCGTCTGCTCAGCCACAGTTCGCCTTCGGCTGCCAACTAGCAGGGAGGATCTCCCTCAGCCAGGCCCCCCAGGGCACTGTGCTCACCTTCATGGCGGACACCTCCCCGTACCAGTCCTGACACTTCACCTTCACATTCTCCACATTGTAGGTGTGCCAAAGACAATTCTGGAAACTGCTCCCACACCCCTGCCTGGAGCCTCCAAGCTCCCTCCCCCCACCCCGCCAGCCTCCTTCCTTGGAGCGCCATGTTCACACCCATCTCTCTCCAGCCTGGGCCTGCCTTGCCTGAGCCTCCAGCCACCACCACGCCGTTCCCCCTCACACACAGACTTCTGAAGCTCCCTCTGTATTCTGGCTTATCTCATCCCTAAAAGGGTTTGCAACATCAACCTACTAGGCATCAGTTCCCGCATGGCCCATGGATGAAGTCTCACCGTGCCAGCCCTCTCACACACACCATTTGCATTCTACCGCCAACTCGCAGTGTCTCCTCCCCAACCCTCACCACTGGCCCTCTCCCCCGGCCCTACCAGGAGCATGCCCCTGCAGCAGCACCTGCGCACTGTCCTCTCCACGTGCACTGTGCCTCCCACCTCCAGATCTCGAGAGCTGGTGCCCCACAAAGGGCCTCATGGGTGAGCTCATGCTCTCCCGGCCGACAGGCATGCCCCGAAAGGCATGTGGACACACTTGTGGTTGCAGGTCAGGCCTGAGCACGCACCCCCTTGCTACTGTGGTGTTCCCCCGGCTGCCTGGCACTGAAGGGGCCTGAGCAGACTTGGGGCTGATCAGTTTAGCAACAGAGGAAACAAGACTGCGGGGAGAAGGCGTCATGTCAGCCCTGAGGTGATGACCCAGCTGGGCTCGTGGCTGTGGCCAAAACTGAGCAGGTACATGGGAAAAACGACTCACAGATCCGAGAGCGCGTGGAAGGCAGAGCCCTTTGCCACCTCAGCTTGCTCCCTCAGGGACCCAGCAGCACAGGCAGGCAGACCCTGCTAGCCAGAGCTGCTGCTCAGCCTAGGGGCTGACCTTCGGAAATACCTTACCGCTGCCACACAACTCGAGGTCCCCTGTGTGACTCTGTGCTGGCTGCCAGGCCCAAAAGGACAGCATGTGATATACTAACCCGGAGCAAGCTCCAGATTTGTAAGTTCCGTCACCCCAAGATACCTCCCAGGTATCCCGCATAATTGCTCCTAGCTATTTGTCCAAGGACCACAAGTAACAAACTAAAAGCCAAAGGATTTCTTTAGTTAAAGGTGTAGGGGACTCAGGGACAGAATGGCCCAGGGTCCAGGTAAAATGCGTGCAGCAGAAGACGGAAAAGCCAGTAAACCAAGCTTAATACAATCCAGATGTGTCCTTGGCAGACAAATGTTACCCAAAAATACCTGAGCTCTACTTGGCTTTTTGGGTAAGATATTCTTGGATGGTGAGCAGGGTGATCATGCTTTTATAAAAGGTTGAGTAAACATGGGAGAGCAGAAGAAAACAGACTCTCCACAGACACCAGTAAGACAGGGCCAAGCATATCAAGTGCGGCAAGACGTGGATATGTTGTTCCCCAATCCTGCCTCTCCATGTCAGCAAAGAGAAGCAGGAAAACAAGGGTTTACCATGAAGTGAGAAAAGAGCAAGTCTTGACTAAAATGTCCTATGGGTGACCATGCCCACTTGGCCAGGAACCATAGACTTCAGGAGAGCAATGTCCTCCTGCAGTCAATATCCCACAAGCACACGCCTCTGCCTCTGGCAAGGGGACACTGGTGACACAGCGCCACCTGCTGACCATGGTCCACATAAGCCCAGGGCAGCCCAGCTGCTGGGCCAGTGATCCCGGGAGCGCATTGCCCAAGCAGTCAGAAGACAAAACGAAGGCACTCAACGCTGGCAGATGATGCCCAAGTAAGGCTTCAAGCAAAGACAGCACGACAGCACAGCCTCTGCTGTAGTAGAAAAGCTGCAACCCAAAGAGCCTGGGGTCCCAGCAGCAACGAGGCTGCTAAACTGGAGAAGCAGGGAAGACCAGGAAGTTTACAAGACCTCAGGGCGGGTCACAAGAGCAGCTGCTTCACTGTGACTCAGTGCTCCTAGGCTCTGGGAAAACACTGGGACAGATATGGTCACAAGGTTTCTGTCACAAGGCATCTGCCGCAAAGGCAGCCCCTGGTCCCACCCTCTTCCAGCTGGGCCTCCCAGGGCCCTTCGAAGAAAGAGGCCCTCCTAGGATGTCAGCGTTTCCAAGGTCATGGAAGATGAGTCCTTGTTTCATGAGCATCCTGCCTGGAAAGAGCTCACCCAGCCTCTGCTTTAGTGTCAACGAGAGCACCCTGAGGGCTAATTCTGATTAATCTCAGTCCTTTCGGGGGCACCTGTGGGGAACCCTTCATGACGACAGACCCTTCATAGCCCACAAAAGGTGCAGCAGCATGTTCCAGAGCTTAAGGAGAGGAATCTAGAATTTAACACAACTCTTTTTTTTTTTTCCAAGTTTAAATATGTATTTTGAAGAGAGAGTTACAGAGTGAGAAAGAAAGGTCTTCCATCCACTGATTCACTCCCCAAATGGTTGCAATGACCTGGACAAGGCCAGGATGCAGCCAGGAGCCAGGAGCCGCTTCCAGGTCTCCCACGTGGGTGCAGGGTCCCAAGGCTTTGGGCCGTCCTCGACTGCTTTCCCAGGCCACAGGCAGGGAGCTGGAAGGGAAGTGGAGAGGCCAGGACTTGAACCAGCGCCCATATGGGATGTTGGAGCCAGAGGTACTCGCTTAACTTCCTATGCCGCAGCACTAGCCCTTAACAGCACTCTTAAAAGGGCTTCTCCTAATATTCAGACCAGAGGTGCCATGCTAATTTTTTGGCCATTGGAGAAGGGTGGCAGCCAGAGGTCGGGAGAAAGACAAAGACAACAGACCTAAACACACTGTGTGGCTGTAAGCGGTAATGAGCCCACAGGGTCCGACAACTCCTTCCAAGCCAATGCAAACAAACTGCAAGGCAGTCAAAGCCATGTGAACAATCAGTTGAGGTTTTATGTTGTTAAGGAATCATTTCCAATTTCCTGTAGCTATGAAGCTGGCATACTGACAATTGTTTTAAAGTCCCTATCTGGGGCTAACATTGTGGCACAGTGGCTAAGCCAGCATCTCATGTTAGCAATGATCAATGTCCCAACTGTTCTACTTCCCACCCAGCTCCCTGCCAGTGACCTGGGAAAGCAGCAGAGGACGCCCCAAGTCCTTG